TTTTCTTTATCCCAATCACGAAAAATAATTTGTTGACAAAATTGCTGTATTGTACCAAGCTTTTGACTATAAAAAAAAAAAAACAATCAAAATTTTGCACGGTAGAGGTCCTTGGCCTAACTCCGATTTCTTGGGAGCAGTACCTCGTATATCGGACTAGAAGTTCTTGAAGATCACTCTTTTGCATATTATAGCCGAAATCAATTTACTCTGAACTAGGATGACTACCAATTTACATAACCGAAATTCGAAAGGCTTTATGCATAATGGGCAATGAGCTGTGAGGAGCCGCTTATTCTTCTTGCCCGTTTCCCTTGTAAGCCCTCCCCAGAAAAAGACTTCGTCAGGTCAAGACACGAGGGTTGTCCTGCCCTTTTCGACCTGCTGGATAATCATCGACCGAGATGATTAAATCTAGACTTTACTTAATTGACCGTAAGAAACTGTCAATGATAAGTCCACACGTCAACTTAAGCCAGAAGCGAAAATATTTTCTTTTTCAGCTCTTAATTTCCGAAAAATAGAAATCTAAAATCTACAGGCTAGTTAAAAGGAGGCCGGCTTTCATATACGCGAATATGTGAGGAATGGGTATATCCCCAAAGTTTTTAGGGACGCCAGGTTGGTGCCTATCTCTAAGACGCTAAATAGTTCTCATAGTCTATTTACAGAATATTCGAGATAATTTAACGACCTGTATTTATGAAACGGGATTCCTTCGGATCATCCATCTAAATTTCAGCATGCTTGCAATAAGAGAACGCCCAAGCAGATCGCCTGGCACTCAACTGTACAAAAGGACTTAGTAGTAGGGGGCCTTCCTCAACATCGAAGGGGATTAGCAACCTCATGTCCTAACCAATCACGGAGTTGAGCGAAGACAAACCTTGCTAACAATATGATCTGCGACAGAGTAGGGTTCTCTCACCTCTGCTCTAATCGTAGGCGTAAACGACTTATGGCCATTGCTACAGGAACTGGCGAAGAGGGGTTGTCGGGTGATTAAATCAATCAGCATTGGGTGGATCTAGCTACAGACAATATTGGTATATATAACACAAGCAATGTTCTCGTTATCAATGTCACAATCAATGCACTGTGCAAGAGGCATATAAAATGATAAATCGGACGATATTTTCAATCACTGAAAATGTGCACGAACCACTCTCCGAGTTTATCGATATCTTCACTCCTGTCAACAGGCGATAAATAAACAAATGCAATTAAACAGAATGAATACTTGGTATTTTTGTACATTCCAGACTGCCATACAGATCGATAAGGTGTGTCTGCAATAGCGCGTTAATGTAATAACCCAACACTGCAGGTGGCAACAGGCATCCTAAAGACCACAAAGACGTTCCCAAAGCGCACAATTCAATATCAAAAATTGCAAAAAGGCACGAGCAATGCAGCGCAACAGTTTCGAAGAAACATCAGCGCTCAGTGACAGTTGCTATTAAAAGAGGCAAAATGAAGAAACAGGTTAAAGGATTTTTAAATGCACACAAAAAAAAACAGAAAATCATATCCATCCACCATATGGCCAAAGGATTAAACGAAGAATACGAAAAATTCTTTTGTGCAAGAATGCAATTTTACGTTGCCTACCGCTTCGCCTTTTGTGCAGCCAAGTTTCCGCAAAATAAATCAAAAACCTTTACGCCACTTGACGCACCGTTCAAAGCGTGTGCGAAGTAAATGGCAAAAAAAAAAATCGAAAATTGAAATAACGCAAAGCAACAGGAATTCAAGAGGGGAGATTCTCCGAAAAAAAAGGAAAACGAAATACCTACAAGGCGCCTAACAAAGGTGAAAAGCGCAAAAGTGCTCGGCCGACAATGGATTAATGCCTCAGTTGCTTTGAAAGCGCCGCTGCGCTCAAATGCACACACACACACACACAGCCAAGCACATATTAATAACGCTGAAAGGAACCCAGTACGGAAAGATACTAGTTCAAATATCTATGTTCAACCAGTTTTTTTTTTTTTTAACCACCACAACTAGTTGAAGATCTGAATTTTTCCATTGGAACGAACTGTTGACTTCCTGCAGGGCAGGAAATGCATACTCTGCATTTTATTTCAACTACTTTAAAATGCATTTGGCTTAAACCACTTCAAAATCAGTATGTTTCTCTTGCAGATGTCTTTTCAACCAATTTAAAATTACTTAGTATTAAATGCTGAAATAGGTAATGGCCAAAATTTAGGTGATTATTCGATTAATATCCAATTATTTCCAAAGATGTGTATCAAAAACTGCGTACTTAGTTTTTCTCCCTGACAGCAGGATTTTTTTAAAGTGACTGTGAAATTTAAAAAAATGTGACTATTTCAAAAAATTATTTTAAAAATTCAGGGCAATGCAGGATAACAATAAGGGTATCATATAAAAAAAAGAGTCTGCGGAATTATAACAGAATACATTTTTTTGGTGCATAAGGACGAATGTCCTTTAAAAATTGTGTCTCTAAATATCCTTGAAAATTTCCTATATATTTTTTTTTTTTAATTATTGTTTGAAGACTAATATACACACGACCTCATCATCGAATTTCGTTCTGCAAACTTTATTAACTAAAAAAGATAAAATTTATTAAAACGCATTTCAATAACTATTCGTCCTTGTAAACCAAGAAACTTTACTGTTTTTAAATTTAACAGAATTTTCTCTCTCATTTGGTACCCATATTGTTATTCTACAGTGCATTGATTTTGTAAAATAATTTTTTTAATTAATTATATCTTTAAAATTTCAAACTCCTTTCAAGAAAAAAACTCCTGGCGTCAGAGTGAAAATCTAAGAACGCAATTTTACTATATTTGGGCCACAGTTGATTCTTTCGTGTGTTTTGAATATTTTTTTTTTTGTTTTGTCGCACGGTGTCGCAATAATTTTTCTGAGGTAGACGTTTGAGCTACCGGACACAAAACAACGCGTGCAGAAAACAATACTCAGACTACATGCCGTCCATTGTACTGTTTTCATTCCCCTTTTAATCTGTTTCAAATCTGCACGATTTACGAATAAACTTAAGTAGATTGTTGGGTGTCACGGAGCTCAGGTGTTCGTCTCTCAACACATCACTGCCAAATAATTCATACCTAATTCTTCCAAAGGCGGGACAGAAGCATAAAAGGCGTTCCACCGTCTCATCCTCTTCAAGGTAGGATGGGCAAATGGAGTTGTCATATACGACGATCATAGTCAGGTGCTTGTGTTACGTGAACTGACCAGTCAGCAGTCCAACAAGTTGTCTGCATTCCCAGCTGCTCAATGAGAGCAAAAAAAAAAGAGAGACCTTCTGAGACTGAAGACGGCATGGGTTTTGCTCACCTGCAGCCCCTCGATGCTTCCCAGTCGTTGCTGAGCGAAGTGTTTACCCAATTTCTGATGGTGGCTTCGATGGTCGACCGAGGACCGAGCAACACCTGACCTGAGCCAGTTCTGGCCAAATAGTCAGATGTCTCATTACCAGGTACTTTCGAGTGACCTGGCACCCAAAGTAAAACAAGCTTATTATGTTTGCCAACATTATTAAGTCGAAACTTGCATTGCTGAACTATGTAGTTTGGAAGTAGTTAGAGGGCTGGCCAATGCCTTAAGTGCAGCTTGGCTGTCACTGCAGACACGTAAACTCCTGCCCGTCCACCTATTTCCACAATTTAGTCCATGGCCGTGAGGATTGCAAATATCTCAGCCTGGAAGACAGAAGCATACTCCCTAAGAAAAAGTCAAGCTTATCCCCATTAAAGAGCCTGACGCAGAGCCAGTTTTGGAGCCAGCAGTGAAGATTCGACAATGTGTGAGTATGGGCTCCATGCCGGTATTAAACCAATATTCATCTTCAGGGAATTCCACATTACAGAATATCTTCAACAAAGGTAATGGTGGTGTATTATGCTGTGGCATTGAAAAGACGCAAGTTCTCAGATCAACATCCGTTTATTTTTAGTCTACAGGTGGTCTTTGAGGCTTCCCCACGTATGAAGACACAAAGTGTACCGTAAATGCAGCAGTGCATCAAGAGTTGGGAATATACTCCTATACCAACCAGTTTATAAACTCCGTGCAACTAATTTCCTATCAAGTCAAAATAGCACAAATATGAATGGACTGAAGCAGTGTGAATAATTTTCGATGCAAGTTAATAATAAGAAAATAGAAAATTTTTTGCGAAGCATTATGTACCTTATTGGGTGAGTGCCTACTTTGTATTCGAAATAGTAGATATTACTGCGGGGCATAAGTGCTAATACACATACGCATATGTTGTTATGAATGCGTTTATGTATGAGTGCACGTCTGGCAGACACAAAAGGTGTGTTATTACGTCCCCAACCCCAACCCCCAAATTGTATGCACTCTTAAATCAGACTATACTCCTGCGCGGCAGGATATTTGCAGTTATGTATTTTTTGTGTGGCGAAAAAACTAGCAAAGAAATAGTGAATGAACTTCAAGTTCAATATGAAATCAATGCGAGTCTAGCGGAATCGAGTGTATTTGTGTGGCACTTGTGGGGCACTGCATACTTTTAGGTGTGCAAAAAAGCGTGAAAATCGAATTGTCTGTGTTGCACTGTGTGCTAAGGCGCTACAAAGCTTGGTAGTTAGGTAAAGAAAAAATCAAATCAACGGATTATTCAAATGGCTGGGCTAAGCTAAGTGCCTTTTTCCTAGGCAATAACCAAACTCATCGCATGGTAATTGTCATAGCTGCTGCGCCTAAAAGTATGTCGCAAAAAATGCATTATTTTTTTAAATATATTTAATCATTTCCTGAGTGCTTTGTTGCGGCAAATTTGGGCATGATAATAGTTATTCTGTGGCAAAATTACAGTGTAACGATTTGTGTATACTTTCAGTCGTTTCTGTTTTCTTTTTAGAGAATATTAGGGCAGTGCATGCAAGATTATTATTTTTTACTACTTTATTGTGTATTAAAGTAATTTACACATATTTAACTAAATTATTTTCTCTTCCATTCCACAGTGCTGCAGTAATGATGGTAAAAAGCTTCGTGTGAACGGAAGTTAAAGACAACAAAAGGTAGAAGTTTCAAGTGTATAAATACAATGGAATATGGGTTTACCAGCTGTGAGGCAGCCTTGGCTTTTCTAATATTCGCTTCCAACCTTAGGCCACATTCAAGGACTTAGCAGATAATACACAGGAATAGAGATTTAACGAGTACGATAAGATTTGCAAAAGCTAGTATGAATAGATTTTAAATTCAGTTGAACTATCGCAGTTTTCGGCGTAGCTGGAAATCTTACACATCTAAAGCGAAATATTAAAAGGATAGCTCCATTCTAGAAGGCAAATTTTTGTACTGTTTGCTGTATGTTTAATCAAAACGAAAAAAATATATATATAAGAGGGGCCAGATTTTTTTTACAGCATTGAAAAGACTTCTGATGTGTCCAGGATTTGGAAGGAATTAGCTATAAGAGAATGAGAATTGCCTACAGTTAAAATGTTTCAATTGGAAAACGAAAAAATGTAAATTACCAAGTGAGGAATGCTTGGTCATATTACCGACATCCGGATTGAACTGGAAGTGAGCTAAACGGAAAGAATGTCCTTTCTTTTAACCGGAAGTCCTTTCCAGAAAAAAAGTGCCGAAAAAAGTTATGTGTTTTATGCACAGAATCAGATTCTGTGGCCAAAAATGTATATCCCATTAAAAAAAAATTGACTTCCGTTGAGTTTAACCCACCAAGAGATTGGGCATCCCCGATTTTTTTTTTTTTTTTGAATTTTTGTGAACTTTATATAAAGTGTCAAGCTATGTTTATATGGTTTATATTACAGAATGAACTATACTTTCATAAACAATTAATAAAAAAAAAAATGTTTCATGAAAATAACTGTGAACATTATGTAAAAAAAAGTTGTCGCCTATTGTATGTATACGTATGGGTTTAGGCTGAGATAGACTTTAGACTGATCAAGCGATTAAATTTGTCGTTAACTTGATTGACGAGTTACTTATATAAACTTACGAAAATCATTTTCTCACATCAAATACCTGCTGTTCGTAGAGAATTAAAAGTTCATACTTATGTAAATGTAGATTTAACAAACATGCTTTCCGTATATGTATTCCGAAGTGATCTTGTTGCAGTGGTTGTATCTTGTTATTGTAAATTGAAGCGACAACGAGGTTTCGTAGCGCTATTTGGGATTTAAATTTACTTGAAATTTCGTACTCTTGTTTCACGCTCATCAGCCTACGTTCATACATTTAAACACATAGACTATTGTCAAATAGCCATAAACACATTCTCACATTTAAGCCGCTTAAAGGTAAAAGCTTAGGACGCAGCAGGAGAATATGTGTATATTCATACATATGAATGTATATTTTTATGTACATACATATGTAAATAGTACATTAGTGTGGTCATAGAGTTGTTTGCAAAATTTTAAAGCCTTGCATTCGAAAGCTTTCGCACTAAAAATATGAAATTGGGAGTAGAAATAAGCATGACATTTTTTAGCATGCGATTCAGTAATTCCGAGGTTCCATATTTTGAATTAAGAAAAATGACGAACTTGAACATTGTTTTCGAAAATTTCACAAATAAATACTCCACAACTTTTATTTAGCAAAAACTATATAAAATTACTTTCCAACGAGCTTTATAAGTCTCAAATCGGCTAAAAATCCCGAGACGCGATAGCAGCAAATAGTGAAAATATAAAAATAAATACTATAAATGGTTTCTGATGTTGCACACCAAAGCATTCCAAACACTTTCATTGAAATATGCAAATGCATTAATTACGATCTAAGACCAACTGAAAATATCCTTTTCTTTTTAATTTCAACCATCCCAAACAGCCCCATTTTAAAATAATTTCCCTATCAGTTGAAAAAAACAACAAAAATTTTCACTTACCTCCATTAGAAATAGTTCCATCAGCATGAGAAAGTTCTTACTATCCGCCAACACATATTTACTGTAATTCTTAAAGCACGATTCAAGTATGTAAAATTCTTGCCAGTTGTTGACGCGCCAACGATCATCGCACATGGCACGGCAAATTAGCGCATAAACCACATTAGGATCCTGCAGCAGCGTCGACTCGAACGTACAACTAACTTTGGGTGGCTCCATTTCAGCATCCGCTGCTTCCACGCGCTTTCCACCATATATTTGCTGAGCGCTACGTTCGCGCAGCAACAGCAATGCAACGACACGTTGCAGCTCATTGGCATCCAAAAATTTCTCTAACATACCCAACACGACCTCCTTTTGTGTATCCAACTCTCGACTATTTGCCAATAGCGCTTCGGCAGCTGCAGCTGCGGCGGCAGTTTCTTCAGCAGCCGGACGACGCTGTTGTACAGGCGAGCGTGTGACGGGACTTTGAAAAGGTGCCCGATAGTCGGCAAGTGTGGTGAGCGCGGCATTACCGCCAACGGGCGGCATGAAGAAGATCTCGTACGAAAGTGATTTGAGAGCAAGCACAGCGCAATCGAGCACCGCATTGTTAGCCAGTAAGCTATTGATGATGCTGATAATTTTTGGAATGGTGATGAGTTTGCGATCGCTTTTGTGTGTCAACTGTATGAGGAATTTAATCATGGGAGGAATGATGAGCGGTCCGTTTCTGTGGTGAGTAGAGGAATTTAAATAAATATGTGCATGTAAGTAAGTAACTAGTTTACTGCGTCTACTTAAAAAAAAATCGTTTTGCACACATTCACAGTCAGAATTCACAGTCAACATTCAATCTGTCAAAATGTCGTTCGCGCACTCTAAGCAACGTGATGCCGTAACTAATTCGAGTGGAGCCTTGGGTCATAACAGAAATAGAGGTAGCTTCGGTTAGGCTACTCCGACTCTTGCAGTATTCTAAGTTCATCAGAAGATGGAGACTTTTTAGCTTGTATAGATACGTACAATAAATATTATAGCGACTTTTGAAAGTGTATATATACATACAGTAAGTATTTTAGCGACTTTTGCTAGAGTAGCTAACATTTGAAGCTATTTGTCCAGAATATATAAGGATTTTGCACTGTTAGTGGACATGCAACTACTTTAAATACTGGTGTACGTTAACCATCAAAACCTAAGCTACTCATATATGTGCATATGTTTATTTTCCTGCTTGAAGCTAGATGCATCGGAATATTGTTGTACGCTCTATTTTTTCGGCATCATGCAACATTAAAGTTGTAGATAGATAACTCCAGTTCTGTTTTACTTTTTATATCTTTTGACTATATTTTTTATTTATACCATATATTGCCTGCTCAATTTTATTCAACATATTTAAGTTGAAAATTTTAAAGTTTTAGATGCAGGGGTACTAAACTTTTATTCAATGAGTATCTACCCTAAATTAGGCAAATACCCGGGTACGAAAATGGGTAGGTGTACACCCATCACTACGCATGCACACACAATTGTATTTCTCTTAAGCTTTAAAATCGACAATTCACACTAGGATGTGTTAAATTACACAAAAAAAAAATTGAACTCTAAAAACTCCAATGCAAATCCTTTAAAATGCTTTAAGCGCATGTTGCTTGCTAAACACCAAAACTCGCCCACTTTTGCTGCCAATAGACATTTGAATTGCAAATGCATCACCACCAGCCAAAGATAACATTTTATTTTCGAATTTCAAACGAAAATAATCCTGCAGCCTCTACCACAACAACAGCAAAACATATACACACACACACACACACTTCTGGCCATATAGGCAGCAATTTGGGAGTTTTAGAGAGCTACGCTGAACCACAGAGCGTAGCAGCGAGGCAAACAGGCAACATTTCATTGTTTCCGGCAACACATCCTGTATTCCACAACATCTCTCCTCTCTCTATGCCATTTGTTAAATCCTCAAACAAATAAATAAAGCAACAGTAGCCACAACGTAGGTCAACGCAGCACACAAATCAATACACAGCCAAATACGGACCCATGTATGCAACACAGTTGTGCATCAACAACAAATCAACACCCAATACTCTCACTCACCTGACAATGCCATTTTCAATTAAATCCAAATTGTTTAAAATCTGATCAAATATTACATTTTTCGAGTCGAGTACACTGTAAGTGACATTGAGTTCCAGCAACTGAGATAGCAACTCCAAAATGGGCGCCTGAATACGTGCATTCGATTTGAGGAATAGCTGAAAATAGATGAAAATTTGCAAATGCAATTTTATTCATGAGCATGTGCATATGTATGTGTATGTATGTGTATGTGTGTGTAAATCATAGTTGGGGGGGAGGGTAAGCAATATATTTATCAGGTGGTAGTTAGCAACAGCAAGTAAATAATAAATGTTTGCTCTGAAAGCTGTGCGTAAAATCCGTTGAGGTATCATTTCCATCAACTCCGCACTCCCGACAGCCGTCAGCAACAGCTTTTGTGGTCTTTTTGATTATTTTAATGGCTGTGTAACTGAGTCATTGCTGCAGGCTGGGTGTAGCATCCTTTCAGTAATTGGTATTGGTGCCCCTGCGGTGTAGACGTATGTATGTATATTTGCAGGGCTTATCGTAAAGATCGGGAAATGCGAGTAGCAATACAATAAACACCTTTCTAATTATTAGATTCACCTGCCTCTTTAGTATTCGCTTAAAAACTATTTTCGAAATAATTTTCTAAATTGTGCTAGTTATAAATCACAGCCTCAATAGCGCTGGAGCGCTACTGGATAATCACTAAAATAAACTAGAGAAGCTTAACTTTGAGAAACGTAACAATAGAACTTACGTGACGTACTATATTTTGAAAAAGAATATTCAGTATATAGTGGAGTTTAAACCGAAACTTGTTATGTCCCTACACCCACAATGCCTTTAATATATACACAGGCCTTAACCATATAATGCAATTTACGAACATTAAGGTGGTCCATAAATGCATGTGGGGAAAAGAAATTAAAGTCCCAAGTTTAATTCCCTCATCCACTAGGATTTTTCTATATCAAAAAATATACCCATCTTATTTTTATTTCGAAATCAAAATATATTCAGAGGTCGCTCAAAGTTTTCCGTGTATTTTATATGGGAAAAATTATTTTTCGTAGAAATTGTATAGAAGTCTTGAAAACAAAATTTTTCGGGCAAAAAAATCTGTTTCGCTCCAAGAGACTTCCAATAATAATACCCAATTGTTTGTTTTAGCATTTCATAATACCAACGATTTTTTATCGGTACCGCCATTACATTTTTTGGGGGTTTTGGGGGAGTAAAGTTTTCCGATCTATATAAAATACTTAAAAAAAAAACTTTGAGCGCTTTGAGCGACCTCTAAATATTTTTTTTTTTATTTGGAAATAAAAAAAACAGGGATATATTTTGAAATTTTTTTTTTTTAATTTGGTCGCCATATTGGATCCGCCATTTTGAATTTGCAAGATCTGGCATCATATTCGAAATCAGCGATCTTAAAAACTCCCAAATACTGAGTTTCAAATCATCTTGGTTACTTCTCGACTTTTGGCCGGCAAATTATAGTCACGAGACCATAGTGCACAATTTCTATGGCTTATAAGCGGGAAATGCATACAATCGCAGTGCTTAGAAGTGATAAATACTGTACTTCAATGTCTCTTCCCACTTTATTCAAAATATGTTTCATTACAGCATTATCATATTTGTTGCCTTAAGCCACTCTCTTCGGATGCATGCCATATTTATTGAAGAAAATTAGAACTTCGTGCAAACCTGTACAAAAAGTGCTTACGGGATCTTAAAGTATAAATGTTCCTTATTAGTTTGCATATTAAAACTAGTCTGGATCAGGCTAGACTTGCAACATTTGCTCCATTAAAAATCTTAGTATTTTCATAATTATAAGTTATTCGAATATTTTTCGTCTATATAGGTACAAGGAAAATTATTAGCCTGTACTACGGGTTAAATTAGGAGACATTTAAGCTAAACGACGCATTAAGAATTATTTTAAAATCTTTACTAAAACAAATACTGCTACTTAAAAGTATGCGAAAAACTTCACACTAAAAATTAATATTTTTATGCGTCACAATAAGCAACTTTGGACAGCGATTATTTTGTTTTGTTGTTGTTTTCTCTTTTGAATTTATTAGATTGACTTAGTAGCTGAATATTTCTCAGCCAGAACACCAAAAATCATGGCCATCTGAAATCATTTAATTTTGAACTTTTGGCATGATATAATTGAAAAGAGGCACAGTGTGCGGCGTTTACTTTTTAGTAGATTTTTCGGGAGCACTTACGATTTTTTTGGACTTTTTTTCGTGATTATTCATGTTCTATATTTTTCGTTTTATTTTTAACTTTTAGGTTTCGAGGTTTTCAAAGCTTTTTTTTCAAACTTCGGGACACTACGTGTTATATTTTTCCGCGACAGTTCGTTTTATTTTTTTAGATTATTCGAGGCCTTTCGAGATTCTTCTTTTTTTTTTGTAAGTTTAAGCATACAATGTGATTTAGTTTTCGGGATTTATTTTTTCGAGTAAGTTAAGCATTTTTTTTAGGGTTTTTCGGGATTTTTCGTCATTAACTTTTTTCGTAAAATTTTTGGCCGTTTCGGGAATTCTGCAGATACTTCTGGAATTTCTCTATTTAGTTTTCAGAATATTTTGAGACACTTCGAACTTTTTCAAGATGTTTAGGGCTTTTTCGGTACTCTTTTGGATTCGGGATCTTAACTGATTTTTTTTTAGAATGTATATAAAATAGAAAGCCAAATTATGTGTAGACATGGGCCATTTCATAGTTCGTTTTTCGAATCACTTATAAATAAATAAAGAATTTGATAGACAAATTTTAAGATTTCTAGGAATCCATATCTCAAACTTTTTCGGTAATAGTCATAAAATAGACCAAACTTGTTTTTTTTTCATGCAGCGGGAGACAGTCTACTCTACGAAACATACACATAAATACATCATTAATTAGGAAGACTAAACTCACCATGAGGCAATAGATTACCAACGGCTCAAACAATTTAATGTGCTTCACACACTCGCTGGCACGCTCCGACTTATAGGCTTGCAAATTTAGGCCGCTCGCAAATAATTCGCCTACCAAGCGATAATATTCCGCCGCTGTCAAGTGCAGTGGATTGTTGTCGCCACCACCATTATCAAGACCAAAGTCAATAAGCGCCTGGCCTCGTTTGCCATAAGTTGTCTGTGTACCAATTACATTTGGCTCATTCTGTGTGACAGTTGACGAAGTCATTGTCGGGGTCGACATGCCATCGCCTGCTCCTGCGCCCCTTAATACCGCTGCTGAGCCACCAATTGTTGCTGCAGTCATAGTAGCTAATGTTGCATGCATTGTTGTTGCATTGGAATTTATGGCATGCAACATGGTGATTGCCTGCCGGTGATCACTGCTGCCCCCGCCTTGCGTGCCACTCCCTAATGTGCCCTGCTGTGCATCCAGATGCTGCTTTTTGCTGTGTGCCCACCACTTTTGTTGTTTGTGTAAACTTCTTTGCTGCCGTAGGTGGAGTTGCAGCTGTTGTCCTTTGCTGCGCACCACAAAATACGGTCTTATGAATGTGGCATAATAGTCTGGCTGTTGGTTGCCATAATTTTGGCCAAATAAATATTTCAACAGTTGCCTCAGACATGCGATGCACTCGGCGGGCGCATAATTTACGAGTTTGCTCAAATACTGGAGAATTTCTTCAATTAATTTTAGAATGGCGTTGGATGGGAAGACTGCAGAAGCACTAACTCCGCCGCTAACGCCAAAGGCATGTCCGGTGCTTGGCGAAGTATCCGTGCCACCACCGCTGCCGGCACCACCACCGGCGGCGCCGCCGCTGCTGCTGGGGCTATTGCCGCGCTGTCGGCCATGGCTCGGAGTGTGGCCCGTGGGTGTGGTGCTAGGCATCACTAGGGCGGCATGTGTGCGCAATTCAATGCACAAACTCAAAGTGTTGAGGCACGTCCGGAGTAGCGAAATTAATAACCTGCCGGATTCTTGATTTATCGTTATCTGTGGATAAGCGAGGGAAGAGAGAAAAGAAAAATAGCAGATATGTTAGTACAAGATAAACATTCATGTAGATGTGTGAGTGTGTGCGGATAGAGTATATGAATGTATCTAAATACGTGTATGTGGGAGCAGCATCTATGCTATTGAGCTCAAGCAAGGACTAAAGCAAAGCTCACAAAATTAATGCGTAAAAATTTGTCGAAACTAATTAAAGATACGTTTTATGTACTGACAGGAGTTTCAGGCTTTAGAGGATTTCCTGACACTTCGTTAGCTACTTTAAAATTCTACCAATAAAGGAGTGCTTTCAAGTAAACGTATGGAAACTGATTAATACTATGAGCCTTGGCTATCGTTTATAGAGGTTTTAAAGTTTATTAAGTGTAAAAACTTGAAGGGGTAACGCCACACTAGAATTTTTGAAAAGTAGATTATTTAATGGCTTAAGCCATTTTCGACTTCCACTTTTTTACCGTAGACTCGGATTCTGAGGAAAACTGACATAATTTTTGTCGCAAACTTTTCTCTGGAATGGACATGCGATCGAAACCGGGCATCGGTAATACGACCAAAATATGGAGCAACCCCGACTTAGTAATTCGTATTTTTTCCTTTTCCAGTAAAAACATTTTCACTCATTTAAGCAGTACATGACGATTTGAAGTTCGAAGGTCATTTAGAGATTGAAAAGGGCACTTCCGCGAAAAAAGTTTCTAACAAAAGTTACGTATTTTTGTCCGCAGAATAAGTTTCAAAAAAAATTTACGTATTTTTGTACACGGAATCTGAATCAGTAGTAAAAACCTGTATGTCCAATTTAAAATAATGGACTTTCGGTCAGTTTAACCACCAAAAGATAGCGCTGAAAGTTTTCATTTATTTTATATGGGATTAAACAATTTTTCTTAAAAATGGTATAGAATTTTTGAAAATAAATATTTTTCGATCGGAAAAACCTGTTTCATTTAAGAGATTCCCAAAAATAAAACACAATTATTTCTTTAACCATTTTTTCATAGTAACTATATTTTATAGACCCGCCAAAAACCCCAGAAAATACAATGGGGGGACCAATAAAAAGATCTTTACTACTAAAAATGGGTAAATAAACAATTGGGTATTATTATTGAAAGTCCCCTGAAGAGAACCAGAGTTTTCCGATCGAAAAATATAGATTCTCAAGAATTCTATACCATTTCTACGAAAAGTTATTTTTTCCTCATATACAATACATGTAAAACTTTTAGCGCTATGAGCGACCTCTAAATATTTTTTGTTTTGAAAAAAAAAGGGGTATATTTTTTCTATATATGTAGAACCATCCTAGGAAGTGAGAGCATTCAAATCCCGATTTTACTTTTTTCAACCAACTAATAGAACACCGATACTATAATTTGTTTTTCCTAAGTATAGCTGGAAAACGACTCGTTGCTTTTTGGTTGGTGCCCGGACTATGGATCGAGCCCAATAACTACGAAGTGATAGAGCGCACCTCTAACTACAAGACAACTTCGGCCGCATACAGCCTTAAACGAACCTGTCAAGACAGATCAGGATTCATTGAACTTGCCAACGACAGTAGACAAGGGAACCAACATTATCGGTTATTTAGCAGCTCAAAGTAACAACGAGAGAAGATCTAAGTCTTTAAGTTCAATTTATCGTCCCTTTATCACTGAAGTGGGAGTATTATAATTTGCTTAGATTGGGTTAGGTAAGTTGGCTAGCCACTGCGTGGCTTCGCAGAGACCGATAAGCGACGACCCTATTGTACAGTTAATGACTTAGCGCCAGGAGCAAGCCGCAGTCTTCTTGGCAAATCGGAAAACCTTGTTGTACTCTATCTTTGCAGCTGCTTTCAAGTTAGGCAGAAGGCCTGCTCCCAGGAGATTGAATCGCAGTCTACTTAGGGCAGGACAAACAGTATAGTATATGCTCCACCGTCTCCTCTTTCGTTCTACATCTCCTACAGATGTTATCATTTATTAGAGCCAGTTTAAAGGCGTGGGATACCGGCAGCAATGTCCCGTAAGGGCACCCACCATAACCTTAGCATTCTCCCTCATGAGGGATAGGAGAAACTTCATTAGCTTTATGTCATACGCTCCGCACATAATCTTAGACATCTTGCGGAGCTGCCCTGACTGTAGAGATTCACCAGTTTTTACACTAGGTTGCTGCTCAGTAGGTCCACCGCTCTCTTTATAGCCAGTACTTCCGCCTGGAAGATGCTGCAATTATAATTTGGTACTGCATAATGAATGAAAGTACCCGATCTGTGGATGGGGTACCGCGGAAACTATTTCTGCCATATGTTCAAGGTCGAGGAACATGTGTAAAGTGTAGAGCATCTTCTCTGCCACTTTCTAGCCCTGGCACGAAGGCGACTTAATCTCACATTTGAAATGCGTCTCGCCGGTCGCATATGCGGCAATACAGTAGTGATGTTTAGATAAACACGTACAAGCATAAACCAAAAGTAAACCAACATAAACTGAGTACATTAAGCGCTCTTATTCTAAAATTTAAGAAAACTAAAAAAAAAACAAAGCTTCGCCCTAAGCTGCAGCGTGTGAGTCAGTAAGTCAGAGTTAGCGATTTTGGCACTCGTCACACCCATTGCAACTTAAAATGCAGCACAAATTACCACATCGGAGGAACAGGCGTAGATGCGCATACACACATACATACACCATCCACGTTCAACTTATTGCTCCGCACATGCAGATGTGTATGTATGTATAGTACATCCGTAGATACGAGTAGTGAGATACGAGTACGTATGTTTGCAAAGTACGCACGCAGCTGCCATTTGCACACGTTCGTTTACTAACTGTACGGTGTGCATCCATCACTCCGCGCAGGTCGTCGCATCCTACATAACTAAATATGTAAATATGTACATACATATATATGCTTCTCTTCCTTTACACTGCACTCTCCGCCTTAATGATTTCTGCTGGTTTGCAACTTTTTAAACCACAAGTATCAGATACTAAAAATCCTCACAACCAACGCGAAAAGCCACAAAATCTCGCTTACATATTCGGCATTCGTGCGGTTGCACAGCTCAAAAACAGATGTAACAATAACAACAACAACAACATGGGCAGCCAGTGAGTGCCCAAAGCAATACCCAAAGAGTCCTACAGGATAACCAGTCGTTGCATACATACACAGCACATACATACCTAGTAGTGCCAGCAGAATAAGTCTCCAGCTACAATCGAAATTTAAGTCCGCGAAAGACAAAACGAGTCTGGGGCGGACAAGCGAACGAAGGCAAAACAAACCGAGAAAGCAGCGAAGCACAGCGAAAATCCAACAAAACTTTTACAATTTACGTAATGTGCCCGCGTCCAGCCAAAGGAGGTAATGTGTGCGCGCGCGGGTGCGTTTGTGTCTATGTAATCACAATCACACACAGACACAAAATATTAAAATGTCCACTGTATGTAATTGCACTTGGAGTGCGAACTCCCGAAAGTCTGCAAGGATTTGACTGAAGCTCTAGCACTACGTGGCCACTGTGTGGGAATATGCATACAGCTATGAAGACCAGCAAATACATTTACACAAATGCATACATACATATGGCAGAGAGAAAAAAAAAAAACCAAATGGAGTGGTATACATAGCCCTGCTGCTGGTGTTACTGTACATACATACATATGTAAGTTGGTCTGATGTGGTAAATGGTGGAATTACGCTCACCTTGTAGCTGTCATTAGCACTTCTTAAAATGTTGTAAAGTTTTATATAAACGTAATCGCTTCCGAAATAGCCAACGCTTTGCACCAACGTCAATTCCTTTGCATTTGCGAAGAGATCACCTTTCTGCACTTTCACGAATAGTAGCGGCTTTTGTTGGGTAATGAGATGATAGTAGATATTGAGAATCTTCATGACATGCACCAACAGTTGATCCAATTGTAATTGCAGTGTACGTTCGGGTTGATCTGCGGTTAAAGTGGAGGCGAGCATGTAACCTGGAAGTAGAAATGGGACTATGTATTACTATATTTATATATATATTATGTATCTACATATCTACATATGTATGGTATGCACGTATTTAAGTATTATAAAATTTTATAAAATGTATACACAAAAAACTGGGTGCGTGCAGTCACTAAGCGCGGAAAAAGTGAAGCTTCATAAAAAAAATTCTATAAAAGAAAAAGTTTGCAATATATTTCATTAAATATTTTGTTGTCGGTGGCTGTCTATGTTTATGTCTATGGCAATGTCTACGTCAATATCTATGTCTAAGACTATGGCTATGTCTCTGTTTATGCATATGCCTATGTCTATGTAAGTATACTCCTATTTCTATGTGTATGTTTATGTATATGTCTGTGTATAGCTATGATGTCTTTGTCTATTTGTATTTCTTTGCCTATGTCTATGTCTATTTCTGTGTTTATGTATATGTCTACATCTATGTCTCTGTCTCAGTCTCAGTCTCTGTTTCTGTCTCTGTTTATGTCTATGTCTATGTTTATGTCTATGTCTATGTCTATTTTTATGGTTAGTATATGTCTATGTCTATGTCTATGTATATGTCCATGTGTATGTCCATGTCTATGGCTATGTCTATGTCTATATCTATGTATATGTCTATATCTATGTCTATGTCTATAGCTATGTATATGTCTATGGCTATTCTATGTCTATGTCTATACATATCTATGTCTATGTCTATGCCTATTCCTAAGTGCATGGCTATGTCTATTTCTGAGTATACATATGTCTCTATGTCTGTGTCCATTGCTTTGTGCATGTTAATGTATGTGTCTATGTCCATGCTAATGACTATATCTATGTCTATGTCAATGTTCCATGCTTTTCGCTTTTGTGATTGACCTTGTCTTTGCCTTTATCTATACAGATATTTTTTTTTGTACTTACTTTTATCTTAATTTTTATTTTCATCTACATGTAACCTTTGCCTTTAAGTTTCATCTTCAATATTTATCTTCACCTTCATCTTCTGGTTAGCATCACCTTCTTTAATTTCCTCTTCACCTACCCTTTCATCTTGTCTTTAATCTCAGTCTTAATCTTGTGGGTGATTCGAGTTCTACTTTTTCTCAGATCACATACCTTTTTCTATGTACAAACGAAAAGTGTCACTAAAACAATGGGATGCATACATATAAGACTACACGAAAATTCCTAGAAGGCACCGTTGAGGGTTTGAATCTCTCTGAGGGGTTTCACCTTGGTAAACAAAACCACAATTGAGATCTCTCAAAAGAGCAAAGCAAACGGCACTGATGGGCAAACGAGCTATGCAAGGCTTCCAACAGACGCTTATTCAACAAAGCCAGTAGAAGTCGGTTAGACTCCGACTGGAAAATTTATCAGATTGGATGCGGAGGCGTGGACGAATTCTTGCTAGAAATCATCTTACCTTGGGGTATCTGAAGGTCAAGGCTAAAAATTAGCGATGACCAGCGAGGAGTCGCTCGGATAACTCCTTAAACTTCAGTTAGTTCGTTGGGCGAACCCGTAAAATGTGAGATAGCCAAGTGCTTCTGGCAAGGAATGGATCGGAAGCAGTCTAAAAGCTTAAACAGACTTAATCCGGATCAACTGTAATTAATTCCCGAGTTGATCCAGATCAACGCTGCCGTCTGTTTATGCTTTAAGGAGCTCTTAAAGCGAAACTAGCGGCATCTTTCGCTACTGGTAGAGGTCTTAACTGGCCGATATCAATTTGGGATCCATGCAGTATGAGCTCCTTTACAGTGCAGCTTAGGCGAGCTTAAGGCGTAGGTACCTTTGGCCTCACTTCTTGTTCACCCTTTATCAGGTTTTGGCAATACATAGATGTTAGCTGCTTAAAAGAAAACTAAAATTAGCATGTGAGCGTACAAGTAGTACAAAAACCAGATAGCCAAGCAGCACTGGCAAATACAAAAAACTTATTGTTCTATCAAAAGACAGCTCGCTTATTTAGCTTCATGATTATAGCGACATATAAATGGACTGAACTGTAGCATGGCTTGACAAATCCGCAGCAGAGACAATTAGCTGATTTTGCACAAATACTTGCCAATTGATTAAATTACATAAATAATAACCCAAAAAGCAAATAAACTTAAAGCTTTTAAAGTGATGACAAAGCAGAAGATACTCCAACAACTACAACAACTAATATCATCGTATCGTTTAAATGCCGCAATGATTTAATAATATGTAAATATTGAAATATGCTAAATTAAATAAGTCGGCATACATAAAATGTCCATTAATGATTTGTCCCTCTAAACCCTACAAATATGTATGTATAAGTATGCGCATATGTACATATGTAGATATGTATTTATGTAATTATGTACATTAGACCGCTTTACATGCCATTCGAAAAAACTTTAGTACTCATCGCATCTAGCGACCAACCCTCTTTCGACAATGTAGTAGCAGATATTCTCTTTTGGGGAAGGGACTGCACAGGAATTCATAGACCCAGGATCATTCATCGAGCTACCATGGAGCTCCGCTAGTCGAAATTCTTAAATCTGGATAGAGAAGGTAGCACAACATTACTGAGAATGTGCCTTCCCCCAAGAAACATCAACAAGGGAACTGACGTGACTCCTCACCGTACTAGGCTTAAATTGATAAAAGCGTAACAAAACAATTGTCAAACTTGCTTGCCTTTAACTGTAACTAATGCAGGTCGTGTCGCGAGGAGGACAGTGCTACTGTAAAGCCTTTATTAGGTCAAGACTTTAGTTAGCACCGCCATACCAAGAAGCTCATTATCTAAATAAATGCCATAAATACATAGCTTTCCCGGTATGGGTAAACCGGCACGATAAGGATAATTTCTGGGCCAGTTCGGGCCCAGTTCAGTACTAGTTCAAGGCTTTTTCGGGATCATTTCGTTTCTAGTTCGTGACAATTTCGGGACTTGTTTGCAACTAGTTCGAATACAGACACTTACACACTAAAGATTAAGAGTACCTCGTACACCCGCCTTCTTTTCTCACTGCCAGATTTTACTCCTTCTAGACAAATTTTTGGGAAGTGAATGAACTAATTTCCTAAGGAATTGAACAAGAGCAATAAACGTGAATAACTCTGTGATTGGTGGAATCATTACGAATGAATGTACAAAAATATCTATTCAAGTAGATGTTTTGCGGGTAGGCGGCTCTGGACAATCTTGATCATCCATTACCACTTCGCAAGCTTAAAGCGGACGAATTTTTGAAAAAGGGGCGGTTGACCAGAGTTAGGATTGCGGGCAACTTATTATACTTCAATATGTCCTGCAATGTAATATTTGAGAAGTGCACAAAAATTTTTTTTTAAACAGCTTATTTCACACGTGTCTGTATATTGCTTTTTATGTCTTTTGGTATCAGTTGTCAGAGAATATAGCATTCTTGTGGGAAACAGGAGTTTAAGTCGCCTAACGCAGTGATACCTCCGAAATGAAACTCGGCCAAGAAATTATAGCTGGTTATAAATTCCTTTTCCTTTTTAACTATATTTTTCTGGCCTCTTAAATACGCTTTGTTCTATCATCAAGGGTATGTGCTGTCGAAAAGATCTACATCTACAAATTTTATGACAAAAAAAGCTTTTTTTTTAGGTATTACCAACGAATGACGCTGAATTAACAAAGACACAATTTTTTTGTGGTGGGATTTCTACGATAGACCCTTCGCTTGGTTTCCTTGAGGAAGCGGAATCTTTTTTTATAGTGAGGCATCCTAATGCACGCACATCCCTCTGCATTAATTAAATTGTTCTAGTTGTTGGTTCCAATTTACGCATTCAAGTCAAGCTATTTTAATGTGTGTACGATTCAATTACAATCAGTTTTTTGTTTGACTTTAATTTTTATATATGTATGTAAATATTTATTTATTATTATTTTTTTGTTCTTTGTTATTTAACTAACCGAAAATCAGACGCCTGAATGCACGCATAACCAGCTAATATTGTAAAGAAAAGTCAAATATTATACAATTTCAGTTAATATTGCCACCTCTTTTGCCAGCAATGGCCTCGGGTTAATCGAATTTAGTAGAACTGCAATAAAATCATTTGCTTTAGCATTTCGATTTTCGAACTGTCTATGCGCATTTGCAATTAGCATTTACATATTTTTACATAGTTATTTAAATAGTAATACTACGTACTTACATACATCTGTACAATTGTGTGCATCTCTGTATTTCGATAGTTACCAGTGCTTACGCGTTTGTTATTTAATAAACACAGCAATGCAAATATTGTATTTGTAGACATTTAAAATTTTATGCAAAGTATACATAATAAATAATTATGTTGTTTTTGTATTTGCTAAATAATTTCATTTACTATTGTTAATTTATGGCTAAAAAATACTTTTATTTATGCATCAAATCTTGCGTGCAATGCTAACAATTGTAATTATAAAAAATAACTGAGGTAAATATGCTAATGCAATTATTTCAATTTAATTTAACCTACTTTCGTTAACGCATTGAGGGCTTAATTTAATTTGCGCAAAAAAAATAAATATAAACAGCTGTGCGCCAGGCAGAGATTAGCGTAATGAAATAAAACACATTTTTATGCAACAAATTTTCTGTGATAATTTCTATAGCACGCGTAAGCACGAGTGTGTGGTTTGTACTTGATTTCAAAAAAAAAAATAAAAATGATGGCATACCTTTAGGCATTTTTTTCAAATTTCCTCAACAGAGGGGGCTAAAATAAATGAAAAATCTTTCTTTCCTCATTTGGTTATTGGTTTATGATATATTATCTCACTTCCATTTAATTTATTGACAGATTTTACAAAGCGAAATTACTCGATTTCAGCATAATTTGCTTATAAATAACAAATGAGCCGTAAATTACGATAATGTGAATATGCTTTAAGAACGTTCTATGCAATTAGCCTTTATTAATTTTATATTAAGACAAAAAGGAATGGCGAGAAAGCCAGAATATCCCCGACCTTTCGGCATGACGAAAGTAGAATACTCGATAAAGGGACACTTAAGCATGTTGGTGTTGGTTGATTCTTCCGACAGGGTGGTAAAATGATTTATTTTGGAACGAATTTCCGTCCAAATTGGAAATTGGAAATATGGTCCAAAATAAATCATACCTAAGTATACTTAACATAAGGTAGTTAGAAACGCTGGGATGGATGGGTTTGTGACCTACAAATTTAAAGTCGGGATGGGCGGGATCGGGCAATATACATTTCTTTGTAATGGAATTTAAAACAAAACTAAATATTTACAGAATTACTTTAAATATATTGAGAATATATTCAATTCCTTTGCTGTGGACTGAAGCAATTGATAACTAATTACAATTCCTTGTAAATTGTAATTGAGATTAATTCAATCCTTAAAGGAATCAATGCGACCCAGATCTGGTTGTTGGTTGTACGTCCTACCTACGTATTCAAATATTTCTTATCTAGATATATTTCATAGGACTCACACAAGCTTGCATACTAGGGTGGTCCAAAAATGCTTGTGAAAAAGTAGAGTCGTAATTTGTATGCCCTCAATCCCTAAGATTGTTCTATACCGAGGTTGTTTGTAACAACTAAAGGAATTGAGATAGATATAGAAAAATGTAGACATAAATGATCAGAATGAAAAAAGAAGTCGATTAAGCCATGTCTGTCTGTCCGTCCGTCCGTCCGTCCGTGTACACAATAACTCGAGAAAAACTTTAGATATCTAGGCGAAATTTGGTATATAGGTTGTCCTTTATCAATGTAGGTGGGCGAAATCAGACCACGCCCCCTTCTCATATAACGGTATTTTCCGAAAATTCAAAAACTTTAATACTTCAGTAAATATTGAATTGAAACTGTTCAAAATCAGCATATGAGGTGAAATTTTTGCAAAAGGGGAGTGACCACGCCTTACTTATGATGAAATACTGTAACTTAATAGCCGCTTCACCAACCCTTACCAAACTCGATACGAGCCGTGATTAGGATCCAGCAAAGAAATCTGTCGAAAATCTTTGAAATCGGGCAATTGTCACGCAGACCTCAAATATAACGGTAATTTACAGAAACACGAAAAGTGAGATAAATCAGTAACTACTGAAGATAATTGACGCAAAACCGATCACTGAGCAGAAAATTAAACTATTATAAATTCTTGGATTTTGGGAATGGCTCCGCCCATTTATGACCAAAAATTTGTATCTCGGTAACCGATTTATCAATACATTTACATCGGTACATTTAATAACCTGGGTACGAAAAAGCAATTCGTTGAAAATTATTCAAATCGGACTAAAATTGCACCGACTTCCCGTATAACGGTAATTTTCAAATATACGAAAACTCCTTCAATAACTGAGGACGTTCGTTTACTACAAGTTAATACTTACAAAAATGAGACTTGTAGGTAGTTTAAAGAAAGTTGGAACGACGGTAGTTGATAACTGCGCCGGTTATATAAAATTAGGTTTCGCCCGAACTTATTCGAAAAAAAATTAGAGGTGGCTCAAAGCGCTCACAGTTTTCCATGTATCTTATAGGGGTAGATTTTTTCGATATAGAACGATCCTAGCGGGGTGAGAGCATTAAAATTCCGACTTTACTTATTTTGGACTACCCTAATGCATACTCATATGATCCAACATCTATGTACCTATACGCAAATGCATAAATGTCGATTGGTTATAACTATATTGCTTTATATAGCAACGAAGTCAACTAACAAATATAGTTGCCAAAACTATTTACTTAATAATATCTCATATGTGTACATATCTGACAACTGCAGGCAATTACACACATTAATAAAGACAAAATCTTAGCAACCAAGCCGGCAAGAAATCCGAAAATGGATCCGAAGAAGGAAAGAAAAGTGGATGCGAATTTCATGATTCAATTATTAAAGGTTTTGTAAGTAGCTTTTTTCTAAAATTTGGCACTCCCACCCACAGGGATGGTTTTTGGAAGCAGAAGAAAAAGGGGAAGAATTCAATCACACTTCCTAAAATGGGAGCTAAATTCTATAAAAACGTGTGGATAATAGTGAATGGTGGTATTTTAAAACAAAAACGAATTTGATTTAATTATTTAATTTAAACAAGCTTATTTACATCGAATATAACCCCCTATTGTTATTAAAAATAAATATTTCTATGTTTATACCAAACTTGCGTACGTCAGATGGCGCATAACTCGAGAATGGATGGTCCACTTTCAGCTTTTTTTTGTTGTATTTGTTTGCCAGTTGATGGACATGAAGAAGCTATTTGTTTGCGGAAAATATGCAATATTTATTAAACAAAAAAACGGCAAATAAAAAAATTTGGAGCTTACGTTTCTTTCGCGGTTATGGCTCGATTGTTTCGAATTCTTTGATGTCGCACTTTTTATGTTCTGGGGAAAATATTCAACACTGGCTTGCACAGCCGCAGTTGGCGATTGGTGCCGGACGAACTCAGAGCACGCAGCTACTGAACGACTGAGATAGGGAACGTGATCTACATCGTCAAATGAGAAGTGGCGTAATGGGGCTTTCGCACGAGGCGATTTTTCAGGCAACTTTTGCGTTCAACTCCCGCCGGGTTGCACGAAAAAAATTTTGAATGACTAAAAATATCAAAATATAAAAAAATATTAAAATATTCGCCATAAAAAGGCGTTTGTATTGTTCAACTTTGCATTCTACTTTCAGCTAATCGCTTTCAATAAAGTTGGTCGCCAGCCAACATTCGCCTCGTGCGTACACCTTTTAAGTGTGCAATTACATCGCGCCATTGACTAAACCGAGCTGTCGTGTGACGATTGGGCCTATGGATGCGGTTTGGCAATGTTATATTGCGTCAAAATCTCATTCGGAGACACCAGGATTGTGTCGTGGAGTACAATACCTAAATACCTTCGTTGGCTCATTGAACGCTTTACTTTACAGCGACTTGGCAGAATCAAGAGGTCTCCACGAATATCGACAAATACATTTCGGCATTTAAGGGAATTTCGTCTCTTAACATTGAATTTCTGTAGTCCAACGATTCTCACCCATTTTGTCTTGTTGGCGCCAGCGAATGCAGAACAAACATTTCTTCAAATTTAAAAAGTAAAAATTTCACTACTAACAATTTAAAAATGTTCTTAAAACTTGCAAAGAAATTTGGAAAAGAAATATCACTGTTTTTGTTTTTAGGAGTAGGGTGGGAGTGTCATTGATAAAATTAGAGCGAGAGAAAGTTTTTCTTACAAAACCTTTCATTATTGAATCATGTGCGAATTTTATTTCCATTTATCGATTCTCTACACACTCAATGCCGTATACATAGTATAAGTATTTATGTATAAATTTTCAGTTTGAAAAATGAAATAAAATTATTGCTCTCCAATAACATGATCATTTTCGAACGTTTTTCGAATACGAAAATGAACGAAAATTTAAATCGTTGTCTGTTCGTTTCCGTATATGAAAAATATACGAGACAGCTCTGTCAGCAAAACTTACATTCCACTGTTGGCTGGGAAGTTCGCCTACAAATATCTTACGTATATTTGTACATACATACATACATACAATAAATTTCTAACAAGTTATCTGGTTTATTGGTGCACTTACCTGCCATTAATTTACCGGTAACATCAATCAAGTCATTCTGGCAGCTCAAGTCCACGGCTGTGGCATAATTGTAATAGGAGAATCTCTGGCAGATTTCAATGAAATTAAATTCCATCCATGCACGTTGGTAATCAATGAAATTGAAATCTTGTAGCAACATTTTCAGTGCGTAAATTATGCCAAACTGTTGAACGTAGTTGAATATTTGTGGTTTGTTGTTGATTGTGGTGTGGCAGAGGCGGAGGCGGAGGCGGAGGCGTCGGATAGGCAGGCGATGGGGTGGCATGATGATGATGTTGGCATGAAAGTAGACATAGAATTTATAAAATTAAGTGTTACAGAACAAGTTCGCAGAAAAGTTGTATTCAGTAAATATTTAGGTATTCGTACATGGTGTTTTTTTTTCTTTTAGGTATTCGTACATGGTGTCTTGTTTTCTATTTTTTTTAACATTTACAATGTTTTTCAAGCAAAAATTTTTTTCGTAAGCTTGGTATAGAATTTTTTGAAATTCAACAAATTGCAAGTGCAAGTTTGAAGCAAGTAAAAAATTGCATTTCACGCCGCATCCGAAGGGCGATTTTATTTTCATGAGAAGCTGTTTTTCATGGCATAAATACACTCCAAGGTTTGCCATTGCCTGCCGAGGGGCAGCCGCTATTAGAAAAAACGTTTGTGTTTTTTTTTTATTTTTTTGATGTTGGGTTGATCCCGGCTTGAATTCAGGTCCAGCGGAATGGTAGCGCGCACTGCTATACTACGCCTACTATGTACTATATGCACCTACAAACATTTGTATATTAATTTTCTTTCAATACGTCACCCAAAAAAAAAAATACGCTCTGTGTACTAAAAACAATAAATCATTTGCAATTTTGTAATAATTGTCTCTGAAAAAATTCTACATTCATACAAACACATTAAAGATATAGTTTTTGCGCTGGCAGTTGTGCGCCAACTTCATAAAGCGCAGTTACGCAAGCTACATATGCGAAAATTTTTAAAATAAAATGTTTGTATGTGTATTTTTCTATGTTGTTTTATTATTTGTTTTATTTTTATTTTTTTTTTTTATATTGTCGAAAATATAGACAGCCATTGAATTATTGCACAGAAATAGCACATTTCTTAAAACCCTGTAGGAAATTCATGCGTTAGCATATTTGTTTTCCCACAGATTAAGTCGTTCTATAAACCGATGCCATTTAAAATTGTCTATACCTAAATTGATTAATTAATTTATCTTCAGCATTTGATTTTCATGTCGACTCGATACGGCAGATGTAGGCACCACTAGTGTAGGTGCACGTACATACACAATGAGAACGGTGGCATGCTAAGCAGTGCGGGGATTTCGCAGATCAGTAATTCAAGGAAAATTGGCGAAAGGACGATAGTAGCTTTTTATAAAAATCTCTAATATTTTTGTCAGTTTCAAAGCGATCCAGTAGCGCTTTTCAAGGTCATTGAGCACCCTTTACAGTTGGTATGGATATCCAAAGGAAAAAACTGAGGCGGTGCCCCTTTTCGACGATGACATTTTTTCCACATACAAAACTTGGACCACTCGTAATGTATATGGAAAACTATTAATTAGAGATGCTCCTCATCATTTATGTTTTTTTCCTTAAATGAAAAGCATTTTATATCCATGCACTACTCCTATCAGCATCTATTTATAAGCATAATAAATTTTCCTACAGGCCCCATTTTCCCACTGGCCATCACTTACCTGAGCATTTTTATCCTCCAGCTCCATCAGTTTATTTGTCATGCGATACAAAACTTTAGCCAACAATTTCTCCTCTTCCGCTCGATGGCGTTGTGGCAGCGCATCCGAAAAATCACCGCCACTAGCATCTAAAGTCGTTGGTGCTGCTGTCGTTGTTGTGACTTCTGTGGCAGTTGTCGCCGCCAATGATGGCGATGACATCGCTCTGAATAAATTACGTAACGGCAATGGCAGGCCACTGAACAGGCGATAGTCGAAAAAATCCCACAGCAAATTGAAATTAGTTTCATAGGTGGCCGGCGAGAGCGATTTGTCGTCGCCAACAGCACTGGCACCACCACCAGCAGCACCAGAGCCAACACCACCACCGCCAATGCCAGCACCAAATGGGCCAGTGTCCGGATGTTGTCGATTGCCGAATTTATTTGTCGATGTTGTTGCACCTATCCCACCAGTAGACGCGCTGAATGTATTGTTGTTGTTGCTTATGTGCCACTGTTGTTGTTTGCGTTTTGCATTTTGTATGATGAAGCGACAAAGGCAGAGTGCGGCATGTTCTCTGACACGGAAATCATCGTCGCCGATCAATTGCAAAAGTTCATCCAGAAATTGAGTCTGCAAAGTAGAAAGATGTAGATAGAGAGGTGGTGCGACGAGTGTGGATTGAGGAAAAGCTGGGTAAAGACTTATAATGTGTCATAGTAGGTAAGTAGAGCAGAAATGTTGTAAGAAATCAATAAAAGTGCAATGAAGGAATGATGAATGACAGAAGATTAACATTTTCCGGAAAATATGAAAACATATGTAAGTGTGTACGTGTGTTGTGTGCAAATGTACATACATATCGCACACCGTCTTCAAAAAAGAGTCACAACGCAAAATAATCCTTTCGTCAGAAAATGTGAAAAACTATTTCGTAGCACATGCTAATCATATGGGCCAGGGCGACTTTACCTTCGGTTGTTTTAACAGATTATAAAAAAAAAGTTCGCTCAAGCTTTTGCTGAAAAGTAAATAAAAGCTCTGTGTACATTTTTGGCGCATAATTTCAAAAATGCCAAATTTTGAGTTGCGACTCTTTTGGAGACGGTGTGCGATATGTTAGTTGCGAAGGTGAAAGGTATTGGAGCCAAAAAAGCGGCAAAGCTTTACAAATTTTTAATTTCACACAACACAGCAGTGGAGCACATGTACGAGATGAAACTTTATCATTGCGATTTGCTTTTTGTTTCCCCTTTTTTAATTTTGTACGCGCCAGAAAAAGGCCAAGTAAAAGGCGAAAGTCACTTCATTTAATGAGAGCACGTACCACCCGCATACATACACACATACATACATTAATTTGCATTAGGGTGGGGCGAAAATGCGATTTCGTTTTTTTTTTATAAATTTTCATGGATAGTAGCAAAAGTATGGCCCATTATGCTTTAAAAAAATCTTTGCGAAAGCTTAAATTTTTGCCCAATATCTTAGGCTTGCCCATGTCCAAAGTGTTCAAACAATTTTTTTTTTCTTAACTTACTTCGATCGCAAATCTAATTTTTTACCAACAACTTTTATCAGCAGTTGTTTAGTCTGTAGTCATTACCTATATGTTAACGTTAAAGCAATATGACTTGAGGTTTGATTTTACCAAAAATTTAATTAAAAAAACTTTTTCTTCACAAAGAAGAATTTTATTTGAATTTCGTATATAAATAACTAGTAATTTTTTAATTATTTTTTCAGCCATAGATGTTTCTTTCATGCACAGAAATACCGCCGTTCTAATAAAAATCGCAATTATCTCGGCAAGTTATTAATCGCTAACAATTTCACTAACTTTCCTTTTTGTAGGAAATGAAATTTTCTGTAAAATGAAAAGATTATCGTTAATTTTTCACGCATAAAAATTATATTAATGCGTGTACAAGACATACAATTTTGTTTGCTAAAATTCGAAGATAATGAAACTATAAATCCTGCATTACTTTGTATTAGGACCATTTTGGAGAATTAAATTTCACGATCAAAGAAAAAAATTTTGTCAACAATTTGAACTTTAACTGACTTGGTGGATTCTAAAATATTAACCGAAGATTTTCATTTTCCGCACAGCTTTTTTTAGACCAAAATGAACCATGCTATTAAAAATAAAAATTCAAAAAAAAAATCAGATTCTCGACCTACCCTAAAGTACATTCATATGCACACTTGCAAAATGAGTGATAACTCGCATAAACTAAAATGAAAAATTGAAAAACACGAAAATGTGGAAAATGAAAATTTCCGTTAAATAGACCTTAAATCCCAAAAAAAAAAAGTTGGCCCAAATGACGCAAAAACGTGGAAACGAGGCGAATGCACACGAATATCAGGCTTCACTGAGACTAGTATGTGCGTGCGTGAAACGTGCATATGGCGGCAGGTTTTTGTTTTTTTTTTTTTATGTGTGCGTTCGTTAGTGATTACCCAGTGGGTTATCATTACCTTTTTCTCGCATGGAAAATTTGACGATTACGATGTAATGACAGCATGCATCCTATTGCAAGCGAATGGGTTATGTGTAGTCGAACGTTTGAAGCCGAATCATTGTGGTGACTGAATTATTGCACTATCAGCCATCGAGAGGGTCGTGTGTAATTTTGAAGCAACAAGCAAATGAAAAATGAACAATGAACTTAAGTATGTATGCCTTTCTCCCATGTTATGTCAACGGTAAGTGTAGCGGTATAGAAACATGCTGGTCTACTATCTCGTTGCTCGCGGTTTCAAACCCTATCGAACGAATGCCGTTTGTGTTTTTTTTTTTTTAATAGATTTTCAAAGCGACACGCGACACATTACTTTCTTGGGACATGGACTGTGTTTAGATTCATTACCACACATTACTTTTCCCGCAGGGTCGTCATGTACTTACCCACATGTGCATGTACATATGCGTGCATTTGAATAAGTGTGCAGCTAAGCAGATACGTTTTGAGTAGGAACAACTTGCCGTTGAAGCAAAAAAATTACAAAGCCTTTGTGAAGCACACAAACTTAACACCATTCCTCCATCCTCTAGTTCACAGTTTGCTTCGAAAGGTTACTATTTGAGTTGGTATAATAGACCGTACCGGAAAAATAAACTTCGTCGTACACCACTGAGTCCAAAGCAGGCATTGGCAGGCAGCGCTAGCGGAACTCCATAAGTATGTGCAAAACTTTTGCACTTGCTTACAGAAAACGTCTAAAAATTAGAAAACCGGCCGAATTTCGAAAGCAACTGGCACTCTAGGCAATTTAAATCAGTCACTGACATTTATTTTTTAAATCATGCTAATAAAAGTCATTTTTATAAGTCGCAGTAAAGTTGGTAACCGCTCCACTAATTTCTCCCAAACTTAGCACAGGTGAAAAACATATACTTGCACCGGGTATTTAATGTTCGGCTCCGCCCTAACTTAGACTTTCTTACTTGTTATTGATGACTTTTATAAGTCTTCGATAAATGTTATTTAAGACATACCAAATGGCAAAACAAATGGAAAAAACCAAAATAACTGTTGTTTGCAGATTATTTAGAAAAAAAAATTGTAATAATTGTTATTTTAGATTTATAAAATAAAAATCGAAAATAATTGTTATTTTTTTTTTAATTTTACATAAAAATTACGAATAAAAATTAATTTAAATTTTTTTTTTAATTTTTATTCTCGGGGAAAAAATTAATCGATTGGTATGTGTCTCTTAGTTTTAGAACATTTTCTTGACAGTTTTCATCAATAACTGTTATGTTGGGTCCCTGCATATTATCTTTGAGTAAAAAAAAATTAAAAAAAAAATCATTATTTTTGATCGAAATAATAAAAGTCAAGTAATATTAATCTCCTGTGAGCGAAAAAATTAAACTTAAATATTAATTAATATTTTTAATATTTATTGGTTAAACTCGAAAAATAAAAATCATGGTAAATTACACCAGGGCGTACGAACACAAATACGTGAGTACAATTAAAATTACGAAATTGGACTTTCGTACAAACAAATGAAGCATTTGACCTAATGTGCAGTGTTGAAAATAAAAATGCAAAATAACCCAGTAATTGCAGCATTAACGAAGCTGAATGCGCTTTTGCATATGTACATATGTATGTACGTATACGCTATCTAGACCTTTCATAGCATAGCATAGTGTTGCGCAGCGGAGTATGCGTAACATCATTACTATGCTGCATGCAATTTTTGACACATTTCCGTTCAGAAAAAGTTCGCAAAAATGAAAGCGGAAACGAAACCAGCGCAAATGCAGCAAGACACAAACACGTTGCACTTTTAATATACATTTGTACATACATACATATGTGTGTGTGCATCTACCCATGTACACGACAAAGTTAAAAGTGCATAAGCGATTTCGCTCTCGACAACTTTTCATCCTCTTGCGATTTTTTTTTTTGTTCTTACTCTACATACATACTTTTTAGTTGTTGGCCTAGGCATAAAAGTCTATTTTAAGAATTCGAGAGTAGTCATCAAGGAAAAATTATTGTATTATCCTTGCACAAATTGCAGTGGCTAAGTGAGAGCGGAAATTACATATGCACGGCGTTAGCGAAAGTGCCTTGATTGAGGATACGAATTTTAAATTTTTTATTTTTTTATTTTTTTGTGATTCTAGAGCAATTTGAAGTATGAAAAATTGGCTTTTAACAACTGGCAAGAGCGGTGTTGAGCATGGAAAATAAATCGCTATTACATAGTAGGCGCGTTGCAAACTTTTCACGTATGCGGACGTGTAACGTAAAAAAAAAAATTACGAGAAATTCTTGAAATTCGTATTCATTGGTAGGCAAAGCACAAATTAAAAGTTTTAAAAATAGAAGCACTTAGCTAAAATTCTGTACTTAATTGAAAATTGTAGCCACAAAGGCGTTAGCATATCAGGTTCAAGAAACGCTTGAATGTTACGGCGAGAAATTCGTCAAAAACCAAAAAAAAAAAAAAAACAATTCAGACATTTTTGCTATGTGCCTTTTTACATCGAATAAAAAAGTTATAGCAAAACCCCTACTTAGCCGTTTTTTACAGGAATGCGAAAAATATTACTTCCCTGAAATACCCCCCTAGTGAGTTTTTTAAATAGTCTTCTTCGTATTTGGCGCTGTAACCGCTTGGAACAAATTGAATTTTATTTTGGACTACACATCGTGACACGGTATAATGTACACACATACACATTCATAAAATATGTCAGACCAAATTGAAATGCAAAAAATGAATGTGCAACTACATCCTCGACTATATAAAAGCAAAAATTCATCAGATGTGCATTTGTATAACTTCAATAGAACGGAATTCACTAAGAAATAGATAACACTGCTTTGCTAAGTGACTGCAAATGTGCGCTACTTACCTCATAAATACAGACACTATCATCCGAATCATCGTCGTTGTACGACATATCCTTCGCATCATCCGAACTGGCAGAAGCAGCAGCAGCATCTTTGGTAGCATTTGAACAGGCATTAAGGTTATTGTTATCAGTGTTAGTGTCGTTGCTGCTACCGCTGCCGACGGCACTTCCTACCTCTTCACGAGCAACAACACTCCCAATGGCACATTCACAGCCATCATTCGTTGTGCCACAGCAATAGCCATGGCAATCGTTACAGGCCGCATGTAAGGCAGCGTAATTTAAATTCGAAATAACTTCGGCGTATTTATTTTGAACTAACCAATATTTGTTGTAATGACATAGACGAAATTTACTCAATAGCAATTTGGGTGAAATGCGAAATCCAGCTGCAGCGGCAGCGGCCGCCGGAAGTGGCAACGCTCGGCTAGTAGTAGAAGAATTGCTTGTGATGCCAGTCATCAGCGGCTGTGTGGTATCATAGGAGTTGTTGTCGTTATCGTAGCTGTAGCTGCAGTCGTTGCGATTCGATTTCGATTGCAATTGAAAATCATTCAAAAGTGCAGCTATAAGCTCATCATTATCGTTGAAAAGCGTTCGAGGACACGTCTTGGTAGTTGAGGCTGCCGTTGCTGCTGCTACTGCTGGTTGGGCCATTGCTGGCGATTTGCTGCTGGCATGTGTGGTGGAAAAGCCAAAATTTGTTTCATCGTTAGTGCAGTGCTGCTGTTGTGGCACTTGGCCAGAGGCATTAGCATGGCATTTCCTGCCACTCTTATCAGCTGCCTCAACAAGCACTGCTGTCGAACTTTGCGAGCTGAGGGCCCGTATGTGCTGTTGTACTTGTTGTTGTTTATGTTGTGCTTTCTGTTGTTGTTGTTGATGTTGTTGGTTGTGTTGATGATGCGCTGTCGGCAATATCAAATATTTGGACACCACATACGGAAATATCCTCTCGAATGCATTCAACGCCTGTATGACCACTGTGTGTATATCGTCCTGCAAGCCCTGCAAAAAAAAGAAGAAATCGCAAAAATTCCAATGAGCGCAAAAATGTGAATATGCATAGAATATGTATATTCAAACGAAAATAAAATATTTGCGAAAAAATTGCAAGCTCTTAGAAAAAGAAGAGTCGTCGATTGCTCTCTCTCTCTGCCTTCCATTCGCTTGCATGCCTTTTTTTCATATTAGAGGAATTTGCGTTCTTATTGTTCGGCGGCTTGTTAGCGTTGAGCACACAATGAATGTGGCCGGCAAGCAATACTAATAGGGCGCCTGAAGGAAATTGGAAAAGGCCAGCTGCCAGGCATGCGAGTGAAAACTTGAAGCGGATAAGCATTTTCAAATGTTTGCAGAGCCAAACAAATACGAAGTACTTTCAGCAACTTAGCAGGCATTTTAGAATTCGTTACTGCATTCAGAAAGTAATAAGTTGTAAATAATTGAGCAGCGAATAGAAATACACAGATAAATAAGTAGATTGCTAAGGAAATGAAAGTTTGCTGCGATGAAGAGAATAGGAATAGCTTTGCGCTTTTTTCTATATATATATATTCCGAGCAAAAAAGATGTTTAAAGAAAGCAGGACAGCTGAGAAGGAAATGCTGAGATGATTTCATCTTGTCATCGTCAGGCGTAGCATTGCAAAATGATATTAAGTCGTACCGGATGGGTTGCTATAGGCAACGTTTACTCTTCTAAGACTGCCTCTTTTAGAGCGGTCTTTTCGGCTTGAAATGCGCTCTCAAAATCCGAAAGCCTAAACTTTGGACTTTCTGACAGACGGAACGGGCCTACTCTAACTATGTTATCAGAGAGAATGTTGTTGTTGTGGTTGTAACAGCATACAAATTCCCCCAGAGCTTTTGGGGAGTGTTGCTGAATTTACAGTCCTTGTGCAGATACAAATCTGGGTCGTTCCGGTTAGGTAGACCCGACTGCCGTAGGAACGATCAGAGAAACTTTTGTGCATGGCATAGAACTAAGTGTAATGTAAAATGCTAGTAAAAGCTTTTTTTTTTAAATTACCTCAATAGAAGTCACTTTTTCCAAAAGCATAGTTTTCGAATTTGATTTTTTTTGATTTTTCATCATCGAAACAAAAATTCGACAAAGGTCACATATTTTTGGAAATTCAACAAAAGAATTTACTTGACTTTAAAAAAGAATTTACTTGTGTTTGTAACAGCATACAAATTCCCCAAAAGAGTTTTGGGCAGTGTTGCTGGAGTGACAGTCCGCCCAACGCTGCTTTAGAAGGTTCAACTTTAGATTAAAAAATTATTAACTTCCCTTTGAAAATTTTAAATTTTTATTAAGCTTGAATTAAAGGGAGTCTTTCGACTATGACTAAAAACTAGTTAAAATACTGTACTTGTACTTCAAAGCGAAAATGGCCTAACCAGAGATAAGTTTTTTGTCACAAGTTCTCCGATATTTTATGACTAAAATATTTGCAATTTGCATTTATATACTTACCCTCACGAGCATTGCCAACAGATGTTGCACGTTTAACTCCAAGCGCATGGCCACCTGCTTGGCCCCTAACGTTTGCAAAAAACCGCCGATAATCTGTTGTACGCCACCGCGCAGCATAGGATCTGTGTGGTTGTAGTAGAGCAACACATCTGCTATTTGTTGTCGGTGCTGTGTGGCCGTTGGACCGGGTGCCAAAGTTCGTCCGCTGATATGCTCATCAATTTGCATTAAAGCCGCGACTGTGGCCGCTGCGGTTGCAATCGATTTGCGTTGCGATTTCGTGCGTTTAGGTGGCCGCGGTGGCAGCATTTGCGGTGGAACATCCTGCAGCGATTCTGTCACGCGGTAAGGAGATGACGACGATTGACTTGGCTTTCGATGCTGCTGTTTACTTTTGGTTTCGATAATTTCCGATTTTGATAAAGTTTGCAGCGGCTGCTGTTTCGCCGATCTATTGGCGGTGGTATCGCGTACCTGTTGTGACATCAGCACTGGATCGGCGCTCTTGCTCAGTACAGGTATTGATTCAAGTAAATATTCACATGTACTTTTGCCAAAATGATCGTCCTTGATTTCAAGCAGCTGCAATTCGGCTGGCAAATCGCTAACGCCCACCACGGCTGCTGCATCTATTGATAGTGGATTGCTCTTAATGAAGTCCACCGCATCCAAGTGCTCATAGTCCTTGCCCAGATTCGAACTGTTGCCGCTGCCACTGTCATCACTTTGTGGCATGCTCGGACTGCCACTGGCGCTGGAGCTTTTCGAAGAAAATTCTGTTGCTGCTGTCAACTGCTTGTGCAACTCCTGCACCTCCTGTTCTGTGATCTCCAGCCGAAGCTGTAGCACAGCGGGATCGAAACGCACGCATTGCGCTAGAACAGACAGCGATAGGCTCTTTATGGATATGCGTATTTGGGTGTCGCTATGCAAGCCATGCGCTTGGCCGGTTAATAGAAAACGCGCCGCAATTAAGCGTGCCGTATAGCGTACGATGGATTGTTCGAAAAGTGTGCCTATTTTGAGAGTCAGCAGCGGTTGTAGCGAAGCTACCTTCTGCACTAACGAGTTTGCGCTAAGGAAGGGATTAACTAGAGAGAGACAAAGACGTAGGGTAGACGAGTAAGTAAACGAATGACAGAAAATAGCTACGAGCATCTGCGAAGGTGAGCCTAATGTGCCACTTGAAACCTACCATTTGGTATACGTTGCTCCACTTCGTTCTTCCCGTCCGTCTCCGCATCTAATTCAGGGGCGCTATGCAAACTCGTGTCCACCAGCAACGCCGTGGATACCGTGTCATCGTGCATGCCCAGCGACGAGCTCGCATTCGATTGTGTGTTGGTGTGCGCGGAATCTGTTTGCGGTTCAGCGGATGCGGAGTTACTCAAATCCTGCACTTTAATGCCGCTGCTGGCCGTTGATATCAATGATATGCTATCCATGAGCGCATTGCTGGTCGCCGCCGACGTGGTGGAGGCTACATCGATCTTTTCACTGCTTGGGGTCTGCACGCTTTTCGTCGGTGTGGCACGTGCTCCTGAAGCTGGACGAAAGAGTTTGCTCATCGACTCGGAAGCTAAAATGAATAGCAGCCAAGGAGAAGAACGACAAATTATTTGATTTACAGTTACATCAAAAAGTTACTATTTAGTTGGAGAAAAGAGCAAATTTGTTTCCACATTCGTAAGTTATTAGAAAACCAATTTCGAAAAGTTTTAATGTAGTATTGCACTGGAAATTAACGGCTGAGTATACACTTAACAGAAAACTTAAAAACTTGCAAGCGTCCGGCGCACATACAAGTATGACATATGTATGTATGTACGCATGTATGTATGTACATCCATAAAAGCATTTGTGTGTTTGTTTTGCGTTGGAGCCATGAAATGTGCTGTTCAATACTTAAATGAGCTGCTGCATGTTTCGAGGTTTATGCGGTTTGACCAATGACCAAGTTGCATGCAACCACTGTGGGCATGGATAGCGATGAACCTACTTAAGAACAGAAAGCTATGTATTAACAGATATTAAATGTATGTATGTATATACACTAAGGTGGGCCGAAAACCAAATTTTTAAATTTTTATTGTTAATAAAAAATATGGTTCATTATGCTTTAAAAAAGCTATACAAAAATGAAAATGTTCGATCTATTTCTTATAGTCCATTTCCACCAAGAGCTTAACTGCAGTTAGGAGCTCAGCTAAGATTATTTTTTTTAATTGCAATTATCGCCGAAACTTTTTTGTGGAGAAGCAGCTTGAACTTCGATTGACTACGGCGAGCGTAATATATAACATGAAAATTTTGATATTACGCCTAGATTTTTTTAGAGCGCAATGAACCATATATTTGCTATTACGAATAAAAATTCCAAAAAAAACGAATTTTCAGCTAACCCTAATATACATATATGTATATTACGGTACTGACTTTGCCTCTTAAGTGATTATACCAGTAAACCATATGAAAAGTACATAAATTGTTGCGCAATGGGATGCACAACCCTGGAAAATAATGCAATGAAACGAAAGGTAATGGAACACACCGGAAATGAAACAATGTAAACAACGTATAGAAATTTTCCTAACCGATAAAGGTAAAGAACTTGAACTAACATTTGACGCGCACTAAAGCTCTAAAACTTGTGAAATAAAAGCAGCCGAAACGAATTGAAATGAAGCGAAACAAACTGAAATGAAGTCATATGAAGCGAAATTAAACGAGATGAAACGAAATAATACAACAAATGAAATGGCATAAATTGAAGTGATAAGCACAACGGGAAGGTATATAAAATGAGGTGAAATTAAACAAATTGAGTTGAATTAAAACGAAATGAGATGAAACAAATTGAATTGAAATGCAAGTGAATTAAATGAAATGAGGTTAACTGAAACTAAACGAGATTTATATAAAATAAAATTACCATAAAGTAAACTAAATTAAACGAGATGAAAGAGGTTTGAGAAGGCTTACAGCCGAACGTATTTTTATGGAAGGTTGCCACGTGGTTAAAAATTTTATTTCAATGTAATTTATGAGATAAATTGCATATTGCAATATGGGTATAAATTGAAAAGGTATAGAGAAGTTTACTGCCGAAAATATTTTTTAGGAGGGTGGCCACCTGTTTGAAAAATTGTATTCAATTAAATTGACAAAATAAAAGAAATATTACAATACGGGTATCAAATGGCACAAAAATACTTTTGAGGCGCAGTGCAGGACGCCAGGTATTTGCTTGTAATAAATAAATTTCTTACAAATGTATGTATTTATGCAGATAACCAGTCTGAAATTAAAAATCCGTACGATTCCAGTATCCCATAAATGGATCTTAATAAACTCTATTCTGAACTTTTAAAAAGATAAAGTGCCGTTTTCTTAAATAACTTTTAAAATTTGTCTGCGCTTTAAACACAAAACTTGTACTCAAAAAAATGTGTTTGTTCATGCGAACTACATCGTTTCCAAATGTTGTGCTGCGCGTGCCTTTATCCGACGTAACGGTACATATTGAAGTATTAATGCGAAAAGAGGCTCTACACGGAACCGAAACCTCTTAGAACAATTCCACAAAAACATTCCACTCCATGGTCTATGGGGCTCACCTGCTTACATCCTACACACACAACAAATAATGTGCGTGCTATGCGCAAACTAGTTAAAGTTCACGATGCTACACATTAGTTTATTTTTTTCATACAACACTTCGTTTCGTGCACTATTTTACTGAAGGAAAGATTTTTTAAAAACTTTTAAAAAGCAAAATAACACAATAAAATATGTACATACATATGTAGTGGGTTTGATTGCGAGCCAAAGTTGCAGGCCAACCGAGGAGCAGTTAAGGGCGGAAGTGCAAAGCTAACCAGATAACTTTGGACGCACTTAAGCATTGACACATTCGCTGACTTTAACTACATAACTTTCAGAAGCGAAATATCATTTGGTATATCCATTGCGCTTTTAGCGATGACGTATAGACGACAATGTCGTTATTTGGCAATTAGCGAAAGTCAAAAGTAAAGCGCAAGACAGTTGAATGGCAAGCAGCTGGTTGGCAATATCTTGGAATACATATGTGCATACATATATTGTGTTTTTTAAAAGCTAGAAAAGTTTCGAGTATTTATGTGGAGATGATACTTTGAAAATTTTATGAAACTTACAAAAGCTTTTAGCGATATTAAATTTCCGAACATCGCTGGCAATAAATGCATTAGAAATATTTCAACTTTTAAGAAAGTAATAAGTTAATTTTTATTTAATACAAATGATTTTAAAATTTTATTTAGCAGACACGAGCACTAGAAGGTTTCAAAATTTATGTTCGGTAAAAAGCTCCGAATAAATGTTACCGCTACGAAAAGCTCATTTTTATTCGCAATAAATCAGTGTTATTTTATTTTTTTGCTTCAATCAAATTTATCTCCAACTTCTTCTTCTTCTTCTTGGCATTCAGAAGTTGCAAATATGGCCCCGGACTTAAAACTTCATACACTACTTCCTAACCTAACCTAACGTTTTTCTTCGGCTGAACATATAATAGAATTGGAGCGATATAAAGAAGATTAGGATGGCCCTGCGGAAGGGTGACTTGCCTATCTTACCATAACCTAACGTCCAAGTCTAGGTAAATGTAGCCTATACTATAAAAACTCGTTTAAACTTATTAACCTACCCTTTTTTTAAAAAATGCTAATCTCAGCAAACCGCTGGTGATATCAGAGAAAGAGGGAGGCCTTCTCTGCAATGGAAAGACCAAGTGAAGAAGGACTTGGCTTTACTTAGCAACGAATGGCGTGCTTTGTTGAACTCGGCTAAAATCGCATAGGAGGTTACAGCGCCAAACAAGAAGAATAATATCATAAGTGAGACACGCATTGTGGAGGTCAATAATCCTCGTCCTGCTAGGCAAATTTCCATAAAGGAATATGAAGCTAATCGGAGGCTGTCAGACTTTCTTTAACGTCTAATATCATCTCGTCGAGTTTTTTGTGATGTATGTAGCTTTAGGCCTATCTGACCGGTCATAAGGCTTCATAATTTCTTACAATATCCAAGAGATAAGAATACAACCTTTATCTGATATTCAGCTAACTTGAATCACTTTAGGCTCAGGTCGTTTCAAGAACCTTACATATTGCTCTGCAGATCGTTACTGAAAATTTGCAACTTTCCACATGAACTCCTTTTGGAAAAAAACTCTAAATAATTTCTCAATCAAACCAGTCTTCTGTCCAGTCATGTATAAACAAATTCATTTTATTTAAGAAAAACTCAATAAACCGAATTTTGCATTACAAAAAAAAAAAAAAACAAAGCGAAAAAATTGTGCAATGACAAGGAAAACAATGAGAAAAATGCCACTACTCTACGTCCTACCTGGCTCACGAAGTGGCTTCTTAAGTAAACAAAATTGTGGAAAATACTATACAAAAAAAAAAAACTCAGGCAAACAAAGCAACGCTAATGGCAGCAACAACAAAAAAAAACACACACAAACTAAATAGAAGAGGTAAGTAATAAAAGCGGGCAAACAAATACGTACATACATACATATAAAGCACGTCACATTGTAGCACGAAATCAAAAACTGAAAAACAAATTAAGGGCATGTAAAACAACAAACACACGCACACACACACACACATGCACGCACATACATAGTATCTAAGCAGAAGTAAGTGCTCAGGATGCAAACAATTGCACAACAACAAAAATTCTTTATTTCCTGGCACTCATACGATTTGAGTAACCACATTTTATCACGTAACCCATTTGTCTTATCCATTTTGTTACTTGTTTGTTGCTATTTTATCCTGTTACAACTACAATTGCAACAAAAAATACAAAAAGGAAAATATAGTAAGACATCCAAGTGCTTTAAACTTTTGTAGTGCAGAGTAGCAGAGTATCAACGCTGGGGAGTCAAGGGTATCATCTGGAGTATAGAGCTCCTGTTTGTAAGGCTGTCTCCTTAAGTTCGTGTAAGTGTGTGTGTGTAAAGTCATTCAGTGTAAAAGGAATGCTGCACTGCGAATATTAAAAAGGCACGGACACGCCCACAAAGTCTGGGATTTAGTTAAAAACAAAGGTTTAGTCCCTGATATATATTCGTAGGTGTGTATTTTATTTATTTATTTATTTTTTTCGTTTGCTTCTAGTAACAAACAAAAAACAGTAACTAAATCTGAGCTGTCACGTCGCGTCGTCATGCGCTTAATTAGAACTTTTTTTTGGCTCATTCTTGCTCTTTAATCTTTTGCGGATTCTGTGAGAAACATACCTTACGGCGGTAGCTTAGTCTTTTGATGGGTAAATACATATATATGTACATATTCAGCTACTTAAATACGCGAGCAGGTCTAAAAGTGCGAGGAATCGATAGGTAGTACAGACGAGGATCAACTTTAATTTTTAGTGGCAACTTAGTACCTCCAAATGTTATGTTTCAACCGGGATAAAAGATCTGCACCGCAATGGGGCGTCAAATTAAAGCGCTTGACCTGTGGATGTGCAAACTGATTTTATATTTTGCAAAAGAGTTGAACCTTTTTGTCACGATTAGAGTCAGTTATGACGTCTTCATAGAGTATTCTGAACTTTGGATGCTGTGCGACACGCATTAATTGTCTCCAATCGGGATCAAAATCTATATGTGATATATCTACTATAGTAGCATCAACGTAGGGGTTGAAGCTTAGGAAATCAGATGCAACAAAATTTGCTTGCTACATTTAAGGGCCACCCTAATGTACATATGTACATATATAACCACTGCCCACCTTTAGTTCATACATTTTGAAATATTTCTACTTTAAGACTGAATGAACTAAATATTTATGTGAGGAGTATGAACTAGAGGTTGGCAGGGAGTAGATATTAAAGAAAAATTTAAATGGAGGTCTTTAATAGAAAAACAGAAGCCAAATCAACAATTTTTGGATTCTTGTGCATTGAAAATTATATTATATTATATTAATTATATTTGAAAAATTTTTTGTTCAATTTAATTGATAAAATAAATGAAATATTCAGCCTTACATGAGTTTAATTTTCCCCGAACCGGTTCATTTTTCACTTTTGGTTTCCATGTATTCACTATAGGGTGGATGAAAAATTTTCGGTTGAGTTTTTTTTCGGACGAAACTCAGGGTAAGGCGGATTATTATACGGGTATAAAGTGAAAGAGGCTTAAGAAAATTTACTGTCCAAAATAATTTTTAAGCGGGTTGCCACTTATATAAAGATTTATAAAATTTTGGTGTCAAACGAAATTATTTGAGAAATATTTGATTTAAAAATATCTTCGACTAGCAAATACTCCGCGTGCTGCGCAGCGAACTACAAGTTCAAAAAAAATGTTATAAAAATTTAAAACTTTTTAAAGAAATGCTGTCGACTTTTAAGATTTTTTTTTCCTTACTAAAATCTACTTTTATATGACGTGATACGAATGATAATTTCTTAAATTGCACTCGGAACTTTTTATGATAATTGGTTGTTGGTTGTCAATGTAAATTTTACTATAGGTTTCTGAAGGCAAGAACTATGTTTAAAGCCATTTATACATTAAAAAAAATCGCTAGCATTAAATTTCTGACCTGTAGGTATCAACTTTGTCCCACTGTACGACAACATTGTAAAGACGTGGGACCAAATATTTGTAGGGTTTGATTACGTACGGATACTATTCTCGAGGGCCTTAAATGGCTGTCCCGCAATGTAATTTGAGAGTCAGTAAATAAAACAATAAAACGCCATAAAGACTTGGTGTTTTCAGCAGCAATAGAAGGAGATCCGTCCAAGGTTTCTGCTGAAGTTCATAATATAGCAAACAAATGAAAAATATTGTATATCAACGCTGGTTGTAGTCAACGGAAAATGATTTGTAACAAGTAAGAAAGTCTAAGTTCGGGCGGGGCCGAACATTAAATACCCGGCGCAAGTATTACATATATGCCTTTTCACCTTTCCGAAAGCTACCGCTACATGGTAAGCCGGGGTGTATCAATTTTTAATAAATTAGCGCTCTTAAATTTCGCAATATTGACGTTTCGAGCATTTCTAAAATTTACCGTTATATGAAAAGCCGTGATTTTAGTCCGATTTCAATAATTTTGAACGTTTTGCTTTTATGTGGCAAGCACAATAACCATACCGAGTTTGGTACAAATTGGTAGAACGGTTGCCGAGATACATATATGTGATCATAAGTGGGCGGTGCCACGCCCATTTTCCAAAATTTTATGATAAGCGTATTTCCTGATAAAGAATTGTTGCAAGCATCAATTTTGAATAAATTAGCTTCAATATTTACGGATTTATCGAAGATTTCGTATTTCTCCAAATTACCGTTATATGGGATGTGGGCTTGGTTATTGTCCGATTTTTAAAATTTTCGGCCATTTGGTATCCTGTACCAAGGCCAATAACTGTGCCAAGTTTGGAAGAAATCGGTGTAGCTGTTGCCAAGATATACACATGTAACCATAAGTGGGCGTGGCTACGCCCATTTTCAAAAAAATGTTAATATTCTTATTTTTCGTCTAAAAGTTATTGCAAATATCAATTTTCAGTGAATAATCTTCAGTAGTTACTAAAATATCGCAGTTTTCGTATTTCTGAAAATTACCGTTATATGGGAGGTAGGCGTGGTTATTGTCCGATTTTGCCCATTTTCAATACCATCCGTCCTACGCCCGAAAGAAGTACACGTACCAAGTTTCGTTAAGATATCTTAATTTTTACTCGAGTTATCGTGTGCACAGACGGACAGACGGACGGACGGACGGACGGACGGACGGACGGACAGACAGTCACCGCTTAATCGATTTCTCTTTTCAT